ACAAATGCAGGTTACCATAAAAGAAATGAAGGAAAATGTGCAGGGAACCAATAGTGATGGGAAGGAAACTGGGACTCAAAACAATAGAGGGGACCAGAAGGAAAAAAGAAACAAACAGGAAAGAATGGAGAAATAAGAATTCCAAAAACAACAACAACAACAACAATGAGGAGAAGCTTAGGAACCTCCAGGACATCTTTAAACAATCCAACACCCGAATTATAGGGGTACCAGCAGGGTAAGAGGAAGAGCAACAGATTGAAAACATATTTGAACAAATAATAAAGGAGAACTTCCCCATTCTGGCAAAGGAAATAGATTTCCAGGAAGTCCAGGAAACTCAGAGTCCCAAAGAAGTTGGACCCAAGAAGAAACACACCAAGGCACATCATAATTACATTATCCAAGGTAAAAATGAAGAGAGAATCCTAGAAGCAGCAAGAGATAAGGGGACAGTCACCTACAAAGGAGTTCCCATCAGACTGTCAGCTGATTTCTCAAAAGAGACCTTACAAGCAAGAAGGGGCTGGAAAGAAGTATCCCAAGTCATGAAAGACAAGGACCTATATCCCAGATTACTCTATCCAGCAAAGCTTTCATTTAGAATGGAAGGGCAGATAAAGTGCTTCTCAGATAAGGTCAAGTTAAAGGAGTTCATCATCACCAAGCCCTTATTTTATGAAATGTTAAAGGGACTTATCTAAGAAAAGAAGATAAAAAAAATGTATAGTAAGACAGCAAACTCACAATTATTAATGACCACACCTAAAGCAAAACCAAAAGAAACTAAGCAAACAACTAGAACAGGAACAGAACCACAGAAATGGAGATCACATGGAGGGCTGGCAACAGGGGAGTGGGAGGAGGAGAGAGGGGGAAAAGGTACAGAGAATAAGTAGCATAGATGGTAGGTAGAAAATAGACAGGGGGAGGGCAAGAATAGTATGAGAAATGTAGAAGCTAAAGAACTTATAAGTGTGACACATGGACATGAACTAAAGGCGGGGGAAGTGGGTGGGAGAGGGTGTACAGGGTGGAGGGGGGTGAAGTGGGGAAATGGGACAACTGTAACAGCATAATCAATAAAATATATTAAAAAAAGAAGAAAAAGAAAAAATAATGACAGAAAGCTTCCCTAACCTGGAGAGGGAAAAAGCCATGCAAGTTCAGGAAGCACAGAGGGTCCTAATCAAGATGAACTCAAAGAGGACTATTCCAAGACACAGCATAATTAAAATGCCAAATTTCAAAGACAAAGATAGAATCTTAAAGGCAGCAAGGGAGAAATAGGAAGTAACATGCAAGGGAGTCCTGATAAGACCAGCAGCTGATATCTCAACAGAAACACTACAAGCCAGAAGGGAATAGGGAGAAATATTCCAAGCAATGAAAAGCAAAGGCTTGAAACCAAGACTACTCTACCCAGGAAAGCTCTAATTAAAATGGAGGGTGAAATAAGAAGTTTCTCAGACAAAAGAAGACTAAAAAATATACCTCCACCAAACCAGCATTGCAAGATATACTAAAGGGACTGCTTAAAGAAGAGGAAGAAAAAGAGAAAGAGAGGAACACAGGTGCAAAGGGGGTAAAATGACAATGAATAAGTACCTATCAATAATAACCTTAAATGTAAATGGATTAAATGGTTTTTTTGAATTTAGTTTTTCTAAATCTATGTGGTTCATTGAAAGCCTATCCTCCGCCCCCCCCCCCCCCACCCAAAAAAGAAGAAAGCCTGAGGCCTTGGTGACTTCTAAAATTAAGTTAGGCTTCTACACTTGTGGCTGGGTTATGAGCACATGGTAGGAATTTACACAGTGGTTTGGATTGTGCCAGAAGCTGTGGAATTGCTCAATTCAGCTTGAGTTTAGGTAGAATGACCCATTTATGAAAGATTTTACACTTTGGGCAGGGACTAGAGTATGAGCTGTCTCTCTCTGTCTCTCTTTCTCTCTCTCTCTCTCTCTGTCAAACCTCTCTAAACAACTCTAGCATATTTGATTAGTTTGAAAATGTTCCTTGGAAGACATCTAGGTAATCCAAAACAATTTTATACTCTGAGTTATAGACTCATATTTGGAAGGAACCATTAAGATAATCTATTCCAGGATGTGATCAGGTAGCCCAGTTGGTTAGAGCATTGTCCCTATACACCAATGTTATGGGTTTGATCCCCAGTCAAGGCACATACAAAAAGCAACCAATGAATGCATAAATAAATAAAACAAATCAATGTTTAAAAAATTCATTTCCCCCTCTCTCTTAAAATCAATTAAAAAACCCCAAAACAAAAACTACCTGCACTCATACCCTTTGTGACAGCATGGATGAAATGGGAAAATATTATGCTAAGTGAAATCAGCCAGGAGGTGAAAGACAAATACCATGTTATCTCACTTATAAGTGGAACCTACTCAACAGAACAAAAAAGCAAGTAAATTAGAAGCAGAGACATGGAAATAAAGAACAAATTGATAGTGACCAGATGGGAGGGTAACAGGGGAAAGAAAGGGAAGGGTCAAGTCAAGGAAAATGTATAAAGGACCCACGGACAAAGACAACAGTGAGGGTGGAGGGTTGAATGTAGGAGATCGGGGTAGGCAGGGCAGGGCCGGGCAGGGGAGAGTATTGGGGGAAAAATAGGGACAACTATAATTGAATAACAATAAAAAAAAAGAAAAATTTATTCCATCTACTCAGTTGATTTCTAAGAATCTCCTTTGCAACATTCCAGGCCAAAGATCATACAGTCTTCAATTCCCCCAGACATCCCACTTCCCCTTATGTTGAGACAAAAAGGCGTTACCTTGAACATTTCATTCATGGGTGTTATTTCCTTGTGGCCACACTAAGTATTATAATCCATGATGAAACTTCATATATTTGAAAATAATTCTTATTGTCTCCTTGTATGTTTTTCTCCTGCAGGTGAAATTGGAACTTCCTGCTCTCTTGGGATGATTTGGGTCCCCTTACCATTATAATCTGCCTGTTCTAAAGGTACTCTAGTTTATCAACATCCCATGACAGAACCGAATATAATGTTCAGAGTATGGGCTAATCCAACACTGAGTGAGTAGTATAAAAATAAAATTCTATGCTTTTAAAGCATACTAAAATTGACTTTATTGGAAAACACATTTTGCAACTGCTTATCTGTGTTTCTATTTTCTGCCTGCATAAACTTCCCTTCTAGCTACCTAGGAGTCTGTCCTAGCTACAACGAATCTTTGAAAAGTGCTCTTTACAAATTAATCAGCTATTTCCAATAGCAACTATAATGGTCTCTTTCAGTCCTTATTCTTCTTGAAGTCTTGGCTATCCTCTAATCACCATTTGTTTTTGAAACTCATTCATTATACAGGTTTTCCCTGTATCTTCCTATCTTAGTTAATTTTCTTCAACCTATTATATAACACAGGTTTAGTTCTTGCACCTGTACTATCTCCGCTTCTGCTAGCTCTGTACTTGCTCCTTTGGGGAGTTCCTTCCTCTTATGGCTTCATTTGTTACCTCTATTGGACTGACTCCAGATCTCTCCCAAATAAGTATTATTATTTGTCCCTTCAAACTCAACAATTTGTTGTTCCTTCCCTGTCCCACAAACTAGTTCCTAGTTTGTTATTGATTTTCTGTCACCCAGTTTCAAAAGTTGAGTCAGCAATTTTTCTTTCCCTTATCTTATGTAGTAAGTCATTATGTAGTAGTGATTCTTCATTGAAAAATTTATCTAATCCTTCTATTTATTCTCTTTCCATCACTTACTGTTCCAAGCACCTCCTAACTATATTTACTACTTATGAAGTTTCTCCTTTTTAATCTATTTTGCACAATCACAAAATTAATGTTTTTAGTAATGCAACCATATTCACTTTATTCTCTTTCACAAATACCCCAGAAAGCTTCCAGTTGCCTGATGAATATAATACAAATTCCAGGTTTGTTTTTCAAATCCTTTCAGAATCTTCTTCTAACCCGCCTTTTCAAAATTATACCCCAGAATACTTCTCATGAGCCTGCTGCAACAATTCAGTTCCACATTTCCCCTAGAGCACAGCACAGCAGTCCTCACTCCCTTTGCCTTTCTTCTGCTCTTTCTACATCATGAGCATAGTGACATCTTATCCATCTTTGAGACATGTCACATATCACCATTCCCTTCCCCATGAAGGTAACCCCTTTACCTTCTTATTCCAAGAGGTTGCTAACTTTTATTATACTCTGTCCATCTAAACTACATTTTGACACTTACATTTTATTTTTTCAAAAATTGTCATATCACTATATACAGGGTCTGGCAGAAGTAGCACCACTGAGTATGGTTGGTAGGTTATGTGAATGTCTCGCATGAGATGGATAGCAATTGGAACAATTCACTTAAAATGTCATATGGTATGTGTGAGTGTGATATTGTTATGTTACAGTATTACATGCTTATGATTTTGTAATAAAAGATTTTTATGTAATAAATAAGGACATTATTTGTGCTGGACCCCTGTATGTTACAAACTATTTGATTCCAGGGACTCTGATTTATAATTTTTCTGTATACTCCTTATTGCTAGAACATTAGGCCTATCATGAAAAAGTTGTTGGCCCACCATGAAAAGTTATATATTACAGAGATATGATGTTTGTTAAAAATTTATTATACTTCTATTTAATCAAAATGTTTTATTTTAGAAAGTTTCCAGTCATTTTGACTAAGTAATATAAATATCAACTTATAACACAGATGGATGGAAACTGAGGTTTGTGGCTGAGAGATCTAAAAATGGTGAAACTTCTAAAAAGTAGAAACTCTGCAGATGTAGAGATTAAAAGAATTCTATAATTACAATCCAGTTAAGCAGTGCTTGGGATATTACTTGTATCTGGAGGATGGGAACCATAACAATCATTTGTCTTATGGGCTTTTATTTGTCTTTACTCTTTCTCTTTTTGTTGTACTTCTTTCTTTTCCTTGCCTTGCCCCTCTTTTGAAGCTTCTGTTTTTTTACCCTTGGCTTGTGGTTCTTTCTTTCCTTTAGCTTTGACTTTTTTTCCACCACTTGTCTTCTTTTTGGCTTCATTTTCTTTTGCATCTTCATTCTTTCCTGCATCTCCCTTTTCTTTGTCCTGGTTTCCTTTATCTTCAGAATTCTTGTTTTCTACTTGAGATTCTTGTCCTTGTGGTTTTCCAGCCTCACTGTCCTTTACTTGAGGTTCCTGTCCTTGTGGTATTTTGGATTCACCCTCTTTTACTTGAGATTCTTGTCCTTGTGGTTTTCCAGCCTCACTGTCCTTTACTTGAGGTTCTTGTCCTTGTGGTATTTTGGGCTCACTCTCTTTTACTTGAGATTCTTGTCCTTGTGGTTTTCCAGCCTCACTGTCCTTTACTTGAGGTTCTTGTCCTTGTGGTATTTTGGACTCACTCTCTTTTACTTGAGATTCTTGTCCTTGTGGTTTTCCAGCCTCACTGTCCTTTACTTGAGGTTCTTGTCCTTGTGGTATTTTGGACTCACTCTCTTCTACTTGAGCTTCCTGTCTTTTTGGCATTTCCATGTCACTCTCCTTTACCTTGGCCTTCATTCCCATCTTGTCTTTCTCCAACTCAATGCCTTTTGCTGCATGCATCAATGACTTATCAGAATCTGTGAATAAGATTTCCTTCTTTAGTGCTTCCTTGTTTTCTTCTTGGCTACCCTTAGGCTTTGAAGTGCCTCCACGTTTTAGAATCGGGGCTCTGGGACCTGATATTTTTGCAAGTTCTCCATCCATGTAACCTGGAAATATAACTGAACACACAGCAGAAGTGCACAATTCAGATAAGTACTTTCTCTTTATTTCTACTTTCCCCCAGATACTGGTTTCTTTTTTTTTTTTGCCTTAAAATTTATAGACTTTAGTTTTTGCTGAAAATATAAAATGGTGGAACACTACACATAAAATTATATTAAGTATTGATAACATTCCAGATTTTTTTCAATAAATTGGATGATTAATGAAAGAAAAGGTAAAATGTAGTATAAATGAGGTGACATTTGTTCAGTATGTTATAGCTAATGAATAATGCTTAATAGCTAGAGAAGGATGTATTCTGAAAGGAAATAAAACTTATTTTTAGAAAAAATTGTGGAAAGAAGAAATATTGTTTCTTAAAATAGAAAAAGAAAGCTCAAAATATATTTTTCATATTGAATAAAAGCACATCTCATTATACAGAAGAAGTAATAGTTCTAGCTGATATTTATTAAGTGCTTACCACACATCAGGTACTCGCTATTCTGAGCAATTTACATGTATTAACTCGTTTAATCCTCATAATGACCATATAGGGTAAGTACTGTTTTCCTCCCCATTTTACAGATGAAAAAACTGAGGCACAGAAAGTTTAAATAAATGTGAATATGGTCATAATAGCAGGTGGTGAAACTTGGATTTGAACCTGATAGACTCCAGAGTTCAGCTTTAACCACTACCAGACTGTTTCTTGCAATATCTGCTAACTTACTTTATAAAAATTTCAGGTCCCTTTTGTCTTGTATAGGTACATCTGTTCTGCTATGTCTTATTTCTGTGTTACCTAATAAATTTGAATTTGTTAGCTAGCTTCTCCTATTTTTATTTTTAAAAAGATTTTATTCATAATTTTAGAGAGAGGGGAAAGAAAGGAGAAAGAGAGGGAGAGAAACATCTATGTGCAGAGAAACATTGACTGGTTGCCTCTTTCATGCCTCCAACTGCGGACCTGGCCTGCAACCCAGGCAACTGCCCTGACCAGGAACCGACCGACACTTTAATTCGAAGACCGGTGCTCAAACCACTGAGCCACACAATCCAGGGCTAGCTTCTGCTATTTCCAAATTTTTATTTTATCATTATTACTTTTTAGTGATCTGATTCTTTGAATTAAGAAAAAAAAAAGAATATCTGTGCTACCAAGGAGAATTGTGTGGATTTGTACTATGGAGCCAAGTTATGTCTTGCTTTAAAAAAAAAAAAATATATATATATATATATATATATATAAATGGAACCTAATCAACAAAACAAATAAGCAAGCAAAATAGAACCAGAAACATGGAGTGAAAAACAAACTGACAGTGACTGGAGGGGAGGGGGATAACAGGGGAAAGAAGGAGAAGGATCAAGTCAAAGAACATGTATAAAGGACACCTGTACAAAGACAATGCATGGGGAGGGTGGGAGGATTGAATGTGGGAAGTGTGGGGTGGGTAGGGCAAGAGAGAGCAATGGTAGAAAAATGGGGACAACTGTAATTGAACAATAGTTAAAAAAATTTTAAAAATATAACATTTAATATTAATATAGTAGAAAGAATCCTAAATTTAAAAGCTGAATAAGAACACCTGGATTTAGTATTTCTGTTAACAGGGTTTATTTGGGTAAATTAGTTAATCTCCAAATGCTCCTTATACATAGTCTGCTATGCCCACTTTTTAGAGTTATTTATGTATTCTGGACAGATAGTTTAAGGAGGATGGCCTCTAGAGAGAGACCGGTTCAAACCTTGGCTCCACACTTAACTAGCTGGGTGCCCCTGGGCAAACTTTACTTTGTTATTTGTAACATGGGAGCAATAGTAGTAGCTACTTCACAGAAGTGTTATGAGGGTTAAATAATATCATGTAAGTAAAGCACTCAGTACAGCACATGGAACATAGTAAGCTGTCAATGAATATTGGCTATTACTGCAACCAAATGAAGTAGTACAGGCAAAATCCCTCTGTGAATGTAAGACAAATTATTCTGTTTCAAACAAATAATTTAGAGGAATGATTAATTTGTATTACAGAAAGACTTCTTGCATAATAATTAATTACTTGACTTTTTAATATTAAAAACTTTTTGGTACATTCAGAGTTTGTTTGAAAAATTGTTATACACATAACTATATTTTATCAGTTGTAAAAAGTAGGACACACCTGTAATAGATCTGAAGGTAACTATAGATCTAAATGGATGTCCTAGTTCAGTGTTTTCTCTTTGGTATTTTAAACTTTTGACACCAAAATACAAATTACATTAGAAACCCTGCATTAATGCTTTTTGAAGCTTTTTGTGTATTTTCCTCATTAGTCTTGTCCAGTAAGATAAGGGTACTGACATTTTATTCTAGGCAAAGTCATTTCCATTTTTCTAATAACAATCAGTGATAATATATCCCAACCACTTCTGTATTGAGAAAAACAACCCAGAATATCTTGATATCTGTCCGCACTAACAGTGGACTCTTATTTTGTTTGAGGTGTGGCATACAGTAGAGAAGTATGTTTTTCCACTGAAGCTTCTAACTTTATGAACTCTATGAAATGTACTTCTAAACAAACTGATTTTTCTTAATATATGAATAATTTTTAGTTTCACCATCTCATGAGGTAATTTGTTTAATCTTTACTACTGTGTATACTACTACATGATCCATTTTAACCTTAATTTACCTCCTAAATAGTATAGATTTTGTCAATCAAAATTAAATATTCTAGGATTTGATGAAACAGTTTATGTTAGCTACACGTTTTCTAATGCTATAGAATTTTAAAAGAATTTTATTCTTTTCCTCACCACACTAAAAAAAAATATATCTAGTCACTTCTAATAGTATTGTCATGTCCTAATTGTTTTAGTATTTTGCCCTATATTTTCTACCTTTAACTTAATCGACAAAAATTAGATTTTCTGGGATTTATTTTTCAGGAATCTAGCTATCTGATAAAGTGAGATTCACTTTTATTTCAACTTTGCATTACGGAAGTGAGGCACAAATCATTATTCTACCAAATTCTAAGTTCCTCTTTTCCTTCTTCTAGATTTCCTTCTTCTAGATTTCTAGATGGTGCATAAACCTTGTCTTTCTCTTGGACCTCATGTACTCACTAATATATATATATTTGTAAACTTTGGCTACATGTACATTTATTGCAGGTGGTAGCTTATAGAACAAAATTCTAATAAAATTGAAAGGTTTAATCAAGACCTTGGTGATTGTCATAATGTATTCAGGCTGATTAAAAAGTTAAAATTGAAGAGATATTTTTTAATTGGGTAAGTTTTGTTAAAGCTGAAAAATATCAAGAAAGAACTATCATGTTTAATAATTCTAATTATATAATATTTAACTAATGTAGAAAATAGATCATGAGCTTTATTAGGAGACTAATCATATTATATTCTTAATCTAGTGACTGTCATGGAGAGTACAATCAAATCTAGATTGTACAAGATCTGTTAAGCATTCGAGTGATGAATCATGATAGCTCTCAGGCCACGAATCAACATTTAAAAAGATCATATACTTATTAGCTGAATATGGAGATGAGAAAATAAGGGACCCAACCTAGAGATGATGAAGCCCGATGGGCTGATTTGTTTTAAATCTTTCTTTGAACAATGAATTAAACCTTAACCTTCCTTTACTAAAAATATTAACTGGGAAGAATATGTTTGGAATATTGTCAATCAAAATATATCTTTCAAAACAAAAAATTAAAAGGTTAAACTGATTTTTTTTGTAATTATGAAAAACCGTATTTATTAAGAAGTAATCCCCTCCAGGAAGGGACTTGGCTGGCAAGCCCTTCTCATTGCCCTCTTTCTCTTTAAGGAAAGTGTAGGGAGCATGTGAGGGAGCAAACATATCACGACTGCTCTGAATGCATGTTGTTTCTTGTTCTGTAAATCAAAAGAAAATAATTCTTTTCCAACTTCACCTCCTATCCCCCAATCACAAACCCACCCCATTCTAGTGGAAATTGAGAAAGAAGAGTGCAGCTTAAAGGTGATTAAATATAGAATGTATTTCCATGTTTCTGGTTCTATTTTACTTGTTTGTTTTGTTGACTCAGTTTCACTTATTGGTGAGATCATAAGGTATTTATTTGTCTTATGAGTGGGGCAGAGGAGAGCAACAGGGAAAAAATGTGGGACAACTGTAGTCAAACAACAATAAAAAAACACAAAATATAGAACATATTTTGTGTTTGTCAATGGTTAGAATATTGGAGATGTTTGAAGTGTATCTCATTACATTTAAGTCCTTTTTCCTTCTTATGATTATATGCAGAGTTTTAAAAACTACTATTCTATTTTTTCATATAATTTTCCTGAAGAGCTGTATAATGCATTAAATAATATTCAAGAGAGAAATTTGAATTTAGGAAACAGTTAAAAGCCAAACATCAATTTAAATGGAATGTCTTTTATTTTGAAACTTTTGTGTACATTTAATTTACAGCTTCACTAGTAGATGCATATTTACATTCACAAATATTAGATTTATAGATAAGATTTCAGGAGTAATCACAAAAAAGGCATTTGTGGTCCAGTATAGGTTATAATATATTGGGGTGGAAGTTGTGTTTACTCCAGAGGCAGGAAGCCCTTTGTTTACATCCTGACACTGCTGTTTACCTACTCTTTAACTTGGGGTAAAGGTCTGAGCCAGTTTCATAATCCATGAAGTAGAGGATAATAATCCAGGCTGGGCTATTGTAAGAATAAGAGATAATTGTTTTTGAAAATAACTAGCACAATGCACAGTATATAGTAGGTGTTCAATACCTACTATCCCTCAAAGGTCAAGTTATTTAAAACACAATAGATAAGATTTTGTTCTTAATTAGTTTTTTTTCTATTAATATGTTACAGTAGGCCCTTACTTAAAACAAAAAAATTTCTAAATTACCAACAAGGAACTAATGGAATTTAGAAACCAATATTTCCTTTTTTCATTACATTTTGCAGTGAGGAGACTCTTTCAGAGTCCAGAAGGCCAGAGATTATGGCACTCTTTTTTTTTTTAAAGATTTTATTTATTTATTTTTAGAGAGGGAAGGGAGGGAGATAGAGAGAGAGAGAAACATCAATGTGCGGTTGCTGGGGGTCATAGCCTGCAACCCAGGCATGTACCCTGACTGGGAATCGAACCTGCTGCACTTTGGTTCGCAGCCCGCGCTCAATCCACTGAGCTACGCCAGCCAAGGATTATGGCACTCTTTTGTATGAACTCCACCTCCTCTGCAGCAATCTTTCCAAAAATAGTTACTTAAAGCATTGCTTGATTCTGGAGAATAGGGACTTTTAATATGACCTTAGAAGTACAAGTATCTATTTTGGGAGAAGAAACAGGCCAGAAAATAACGATCAACAATATCACAGTAGAGAACAGATAAGGAACTCACCCATAGGAGATAATGCTAAAGATAAAAAACAAAAGAAAGATCAGTGGAAATTTTTTAACTCAAGGAGA